CCCCACACCACACCACCCCACACCACACCACACCACCCCACACCACCCCACCCCACACCACACCACACCACACCACACTATACCAGCCACACTCCTCTTAGGTCTCCTATGTGATAGAATATTTGGCATCGTGCTTGAGTGTGAACACTTGGGGAAACCCAGGAATGGAAGGCATTCGCTGTGGCCTCATTTGTAAAATTGGGACCCTGAGTTGAGTCATCTGGCCTTGAACCAGAAGTCTATAAATCTGTCTCACACCAATGACTGTCAGCTGTTCCACGGAGAGTTCTTTGGTTTTTGTTTTTTTTTTTAATGTGTTGAGCAGACACTTGAGACAAGCCCTGAGATCTCTTCCCACCTCACAGTTCCCATACTGCGAGCGAATGTCACACCATAGAGACACCACTGAAATATTCATGAGGCTTGCAGCTGCTCTTACCTCAGGAGAAGTGGGGAGATGCTGTACTTGCTCAGTGCCTGTGGACTGTCACAACGTGACACAGGAGCCTCTTGGCTCAGTGAAGAAGCTGTCATTAGCTCCACTTAACCTCAGGAACCCTGAGACTCTGAGATGTGACTGCACAGTGGGTGGTCCTCAGAGCCCTTGCTTCTGACTGCTGGGCCTGGAAAGCTTGCTTCAGCCCCTTGCAAAGGCACAAGTCCTGAGCAGGTCACTAAACCTCTGGAAGGCTGAGCTTCCAGTCTAAGATGGAGATTAGCAGAGGCTGCCCACCATTGGGAGATGGCAGGGGACATTTGTTATAGTTGACATAAGCCTAGATCAGGTGGAGCACCTGGTATGTGCTGGCTGTCGTTACCTCCACGGACCTGGTTGCATCATACAACTGGGTAGTGAAGGCCTTGGGAAGGAACCGAGGTCCCTCACTGCCAAGGAAGCACTCTAGGACAGGCGGTGCCTACTAAGCCTTCCTCCTGTTTCTTCAGGGCCTGAGGTGCCTCCTACCTTCACCAGATCCTAGTCATTTACTTGGGAAATAACTTGTACACCTTTATCTTCACAGTCCACCACAGGCCCAGAACCCAGTCAGCCCTGCCTTGCAGGCATCTCTGTCCTGCAGCCAGAGAGGCCACCTCCCCCTTCAGACCCTCCTTATAACTTCCAAAGTCCTCTCCAGCTTACAGGCCTGGGAGGGGTCTGCTCATCTCGGAGCCTCTGCTATGGGGCTCCCACTGCTTCCAGCCCTAGACCCACTGTCTGTCTGTCTGTCTGTCTGTCTGTCTGTCTGTCTGTCTGTCAAGTCTCTGAAGGTTTCTCCTCCCACCCAGTCCCACCTAAGCCACCATTGTTCTCTGCCTCCAGGCAGAGGTTTCAGGATGAGTCTGAGTTAGTGTGGGACCACTGTCCACTTTGTGCTCCACACCATAGGAGCTTTTGCTCACTTGTGCCATACCAACTTACCGGAAGACTCACAGGCTGGATACTACTAGTTGAATGAATGTATGCAAGTTCCCAGGCAATCCACCAAGATGTTAGGCCAAGGCATGCTGAGAAACGGCCTTGCCCAGCTGCCCTGGCATCTCCCACCTCCGATGAGAACAGTGGGAAGGGCAGCTATGAAGACCACACCAGCACCTACCTATCTCTTCCCAGCCAAGCCGCTCCATAAGCGGTGAATGCTCTTCACAGTCAAGGTCATGCACAAGATGTGGCAGGTAGAAGGCCCTGGCCCTCTGACCTAGCCTGGATTTTCATTGTTCCCAGGAACTGCCTCCTTGGGCCAGAACCAAGCTACCAACCTTCTACCTGTTCCTATGGAGGTAGTTTTTCTTCTAGTAGGTGCCCCTTAGAGTCTAAATGCTTACCCAGGAAATGAATTTCTTCTTTTTCCTTCTCCCTCTCCTCTTTTATTCCTCTTATTATTATTGTGATTAGACTCTGTGTGTGTGTGTGTTTGTGTGTGTGTGTGTTTTCATACAGGCTGAGGAGGCCATGAAATGAAAAACACATTTATTAAATCCTGACTTGACCTCGGGCTAAAACTGAGGTCAACCTGACCCTCATACACAACACTTATGGAACTTTTGCTAACCTGTGCTATTCTGCTTTGGTAACCACAAGGCTTTCTGCTCCACAGTCAAACAGCAGCACCATGGCGACACAACTGTGCCCTATTCTATGAAAGTTCATATCCTGCTGTGCTCGGCATTACAAGCAATTACAGCTACATCAATGGGATACACCAAACTTGTGGGTTTTGCCTTTATAAACCCCCTTCTCACTCAGCTCAGGGCCTCTTGACTTGTCACAGGAGTGCATGCCCCAGGCCAGGTCTGTGGGGCTCAATAAAAACTTCAAATTCATAAAGAGCTCATTCTGGTCTCCTTCTCTTGAATGAGAACAACCTGGCTACAACAATCAGAGGACAATTTACTTTTGGGAAGTGGTTCTCTTCTACAGTGGATTCTGGGCATTGAACTCAGGTCATCTGGCCTGTATGGCAAGTATCTCTACCTACTAGGAAATGAATTACAATGGTAGAATTTTGAGCCTTGTATTGTGCTGGCAGAGTAGGGCAGGGACTAGGTCCTGGAATCCCACCTCTTAGACAGCTGTCTTTATGCCTGTGGACAGAGCAGCTGGTTAGCATCCTGTCTCTCCTAGGAGAGGTCCTCTTCCTTCTGGAATTAAGCACAAAATTGGAGCCTCATGTTTTACCTTCCTCCCTACCCTTATTTGTGTGTCATTCTGGTTCCTGGGAGGCCTCCCTCTCTTCTGTGGCTGCACCTGGCTCAGTTTGTTGAGTCTCACTCTGTGTTTTGAGATGCAGACTAAAAAAACAAAAACAAAAACAGCCTATTTGCCACCAGGCCCATTTACCTCATGGTTTCTCTCTCTCTCTCTCTCTGTCTCTCTGTCTCTCTGTCTCTGTCTCTGTCTCTGTCTCTGTATCTCTCTCTCTCTCTCTCTCTCTCTCTCTCTCTCTCTCTCCCTCTCTCTCTGAGTACAATTAGTGCTGAAGACTTGAATGTTGCCTGATGATGTTGGTTTGATTTTGTGCAGGTGACCGACCATAGCTGCAGTGAATTTATTAATTCAATGGCCATGTCATATCCAGAAGAAAGTCTTCACAGCACACACACCTCCATTCTTCAGCTCTTACGTTCTTTTGTCCCCTCTTCCATTATGTTTCCTAGCCCTGGTGGCAGAGGGGTTATCCCACTGAGTGTCCAGCCCTCAACACTCACTCATTCTCAGCACTGTAACCAGTTAGGGTCTGTGTCAGTCGCTGCCCACTGCAGAAAGGAGCTTCTGTGGCCAAGGCTGAGAGCAGTGCTAACCTACAATCTGACTATAAATATTTAAATGGTGGTTTGACAATGTGTCCATTTAGCAGAACACCAGTCGTAGGTTTTCCCCAGGTCCTATGACCTCCTGAGCCTTTGACCAGGTTTACAGTACTAGGAGTAAATTCTCTTTTGTGGAGCAGGTCTGAAATCCACTTAGAAAGGGGATGGTTGCCCCAATAGCCTTCATACCACTATTGCACTGGTGGGCACAGCTTGCCTGGAAGGTCAGTATTGTAGCATTCAGGAGTCACTTCTGTGTGATGCCATCGATGGCTTTTCTCCCTCAACAGCCTGCATAGCACTTTCAGGCCTAATGGAAGCTCAACGGCAGGGAGTTTTCAGGCCAGTTCCAGCTTGGTTTCTTTATGTCCTCCAAACAAAGTGTGCTGTGTTTTTAGCAATCAGGTCTTATCATCTAGTAATAGCCTACTAATCTGACCTTCCAACCAGTCATCATCTTCAGCATCACATGACATCATACTGTTGGCATCCCTGCTAGACATGACACTCTGGAGTTTTATCTTAATTATAGCATGAAGTGCTAGATGGTGCAGGGTCTAAGTTTCCAAACACTGATGAAGGTCCCCTGACACATGATAAGGGACATTTGATTGTGGGTCCCTTGTGTGTGTGTGTGTGGGGGGTGAACCAGTATCCCACACCTCTGTCTTCTCAGCATGTGGCATGGTCCCAGAACATTGGTGGTTCTTGATGGATGGTTATGAATGGACGTTTGTTAGGCTTCCCCTGTTTCAGGCACTGTACTGAGCCCTATGCATTGGTCACCTCCTTGAGTCCTCATAATAACTGCCTTGCAGGCAAGCAGAGTCTTACCAAGTGAGCAAGGCCAATAGTCTGGGATCCCTGTGCGTAACTCAGTTCTTGACATGCACTAGGCCTCCATTAATAGTTTTTGGATGCTGGGTGTGGTGGTACCTGACTTTAATCTCAACACTTGGGAAGCTGAGGCACAAGGGTTGCCTTGAGTTTGAGCTTAGCCTCAGCCACCCACTGGGTAAGTGGTAAGAGGAACAAGAATTCACACCCATGTTGATCTGATTTCAACACCTATATTCGTTGTTATTGAGCTCCATCAGGTATCAGGGACAGAGCAGAGACCGGAGGATCAAGACACACAGGCTGTACCTTTGTAGCACATTCTATCTAGTGGACAAGCAGAAAGGCACACAAAGTGACACGCGTGATGGATAGGGAACTCATGGCCATTCTAGGAACTGGGAAGGGCTTGTATGAAGACCCAGAGGAAAGCAATGACTTGTCAAGGCTTTCACCAGTGAGTGGCTAAGTCTGGACTAGGATGTGGGTTCCTAGAAAACTCTCATATATATATATGGATGAATATATAAGAATGGCAGGAGTGTGGGCCCACATCTTGTAAGCAACTCCTGCAGTGGGTTGAGGGTGTCACTGTTTGCTAAGGTCTGGACTTTCAATACCCCATGCTTTACAGACTGTGTCTGTGGAGGTATAATGTGTCTTGAGATGAGGGGTGGGAAGACGGGAGTAAACACCACAGCAAAGAGGAGCTGTGTAGTCAAATGCTCTACCACTGAGCTATACTCTCCAAAGATGAACTCTGGCTGGCCAATAGCATGGGCATTTCTGTTCTTTTTTAGGGATGCTGGGGCGGAGTCCCTATGTTGAACCTTGGCAATTGTGGGGAGCAGCCATAGAAAAGGGGGCCTGTCAGCACAAGATCCTGCCTGAGTGCTCCTGCCTGTGAGCTCTGCCTACTGTGAGTCAGTGGGGTTCTGCCCTGGTCCCTGTCACTGGCCTCAAAAGCATGGGTGGGATTGGGATACACAGAGAACCTTCTGCCCCCAAAGGAAAAAAGGAAGAGAAAGAGAAGGAGGAAAGAAAGGAAAGGGCACAAGCTCTCTTCACCCACAGGGGACGGTGAAATGAGCAGGCGGTGTGTAGACCTGACAAGGATGCGGTCTGAAGCCTTCCTGCCTCTCTCTATCTGCCGCTGGCTGTGCGTGGGTCCTGCCAGTGCCTTGGATTGGTGATACTCACTGTCCTCACCCTGGCTGGTCCTCCAGCAAGTCATGTTATTTTCAGTTAGTCACTCAACCTCTTGGCCTGCCACTTCCATGTCTGTAAAGTGAGAAGTGGTTCTGTCCACACCTTTATCCCCTCCTTTCCCTAGCGCTGGCCTCCAACAACCTGGATGACACCTGAGCGGAAAGCAGAGCTGGGCCGGGCCACCATGGTGGTGTGGAACTGAAAGGAGGAGAGAGGAAGTGGCTAGGCTCACACCACCTGCCCCCAGAAGAGCCCGGAACACTCCTGTCCTCCCTCACCAAGTTAGCCGCTGGATGGGGTGGGGAAGGAGAAATGCCTTGCACCGCCTCCCCTCTCCGCCTCAGCTGATGCCTCTGCCTTCTCTCCCTCTTCTCTCCTTGCCCTCTCTCTCTAAGAATGTCCTCCGAGGTTCAGTTATCATCCACACCCTATTTAGTCAGAGTCTAGAAGCTTAGATCCAGCCTAGTCTGACGTCCTAGGAATGGACTTCAGGGCAGGAAGCGGTGGTTCACGCCGTGCATGGCATCTCCCAGGCTGCACAGGAGGAGATTCTGCCAGGACCACTCTCCCACCTCTGTGAGAGGCTCCAGTTGGCAGTCTGTAGGTCCACTAAGCACAGCTCCTCCCAGCTAACTGTGACCCAGCCCCCACAGTCCCCAGTCACCTCTGGGTCTCCATTCCGCTGATGTCCCCTTTTTTATACTTAGCCTCTTCTCGAGTCCTAAGAATCCTGTTCAGGCTCTTTCTAGTCTTAGAAAACTCGCTTTTCACCTCTCAAACCTTACAGGGAATTTGTTAGATATGTGCTCCATCCGAAGTGCTTTACTAATCTGCCGGTCAGAGAAGCAGCCAGCTGCAACTGAAGTTCAAGTTGTCAGCCCACCAGGAGGAAACTCTCCGATGGGTCAATCTCAGACAGGCAAGGCCCTGAGACTACAGACCCCAGAATGTCTTTTGCTTCTGCCTTTACTTGTTTGCCGCTGTTGTCTTTCCCTGGTTTCTGGCACGGTGTGAATGGGTGTGGGCAAATCCCCACTCCCTGCGATGTAATGTGTTTATCTCATGTGAACATCCCATTCTACTGGGCATTTTTACCTGTGGATTAATATGAAGATGATTCCTTCCTTAAGTTTTACTGTCTGATTGATAATAATAATGTTAGTTTAAGTAGAGTTTTGATGAATAAAAATATATGCAAGAAAGTGTTACACAGCTAGAACACATGAATTTCTATTGAGGAGCCACAAAGACTGTGTGGCTTAGGTTAATGATTAAGAAAAACAATTGAGTCCCAGTAGCCCAGAGAGTTTAAATTCTTTTAATCTTAATGTTGAGAGATGTGTTCACAGGTTTCGGAGTGCAACACAGCTGAAACAAAGTTTTGAAAATAACTTAAAGTTAGACTAACATGTTTTTGTCAAATAGCTTTGAGGTGGAGAACCCAAGAAGACAACCTAAAGTTCTAGAAAGGCACATAGTTGAGTTAGGGACTCCTTAAAGTCAGGGAGCAAGAACAAAGCAGCCCAATTGTTACTAGCTGACTCACCTTTGTTGTTATGACTGGTTGATGACCAAAGGTGATGATTAATGGATTAACATCCATTTCTGCCCTCCATCTCCTGGTATTAAAAACTATCGATGAGTGGGTATGTACCCTAAAGATTTAAGGTAGAGAGATTGATTCTTTTTCATATACAAAAGTTTAGGTTTGTGATCCTTTAAGATTCCTTCTAAGATAAGTAATAAAGTGATTGGCCCTTATAACTGCAAAATGCAGTCTGCCAGTAAAAGACCTGACTGAAAAGAATACCTTGCTTGCCCACATGGTTAATCTATAACAAGTTGCTTGGGTATGAATGTATTCGGGTTCTTGGGATAATGTGTTTTTCACCTGTGATACATAAAATGTGTAATCATGTAAGGGATATGGAAAACATGACGTTTTTTACATTTGTTTTGTATTTATTGTAATCATTCACTTGAACAACAGAATGTAACCACATTGTAATTCCTATATTGCCTGACAAACTTTGTTGGGGTATATAAGCTGTAGAAAAAAGTATAGAGTAGAAAGAACATGGAAAGATGAGAGGAATAAAGAAGGAAACAATCAAGGGAGAGCGTGAGTGTCTTTTTACCTGTCCCCCTCAGATAGATAAGCCTTAGTATGTGCTCCAATGCTGTGGATCCCTTTCCAGCCCTGCGCCGCTGGAAGCTGGTTCCCCCAGGCAGCGATACCAATCCTAACTTGCTTAGTTCTCACAGCCTTCCATGCACAAAGGAGGAAAATGAAGACCAAACAAGTGCACCTTTCCCAGGGCCAGAAGACTGCTCTAGTCCCCAGGTGCTGAGCCTGCCTCCACCAGAGCCATCACAATGTCTGCAGGCCACCCCTGCACCCTCGTCTTTCCCCTTCTCACTCCACACACTGCCTCAGACCAAACCTCTCCCTTCCTTATAAAAGACAACCCTCTAGCAACAAAAACCATGAACCCGGTTTCATCTTTGTGAAGCCTGTCTTCGAACATGTCATTACCTAACTCAAAAACCTTCAAATTCCCCCAACATTCCCACCTCCAACAAGCATAAGAACATCTATCCATCAGGCTGCTCCTTGCTTTTCCTAGACACTAGTTTCTGTGAACTGTCAATCTGTCTGTGGATCACTAAGATCAACGCTAACGCTGCCCCTATTTTTAAATAGTGAGGAAACTGGGACTCTGGGAAGGGACCTTGCTTGTTATACAGCTCTGAAGTGCACGTGCAGGATCCATGTCTAGCCTATACTCTGGCCATCAGATGCCAGGTCACACAATGCCAATGCCACTTGTACTGGTGATGCCAAAACATCAGAGGAAAATAAGGATTTTGCATAACATTCCTGGTTCACTTGAGTATTCTTGGAACACTTGTGTTTAGTTCCCAATTGTTTACATATTATATCTGTGCCGTACACCGTTTCAACCCTCAAGGACATAGCAACATAAATCATCCCCAAATTACTCCTCTCTGTAACTGATATTCTAGTGGGAAGTGGAGGAGGGAAAACTAAACAAAAAAAGTAAATCTGAGGCGCTCATTGCTACTGGGAAAAGTTACGGTGGATCAGAAATAAAGGGACAGTCCAATGTGCCTGGTGGGGCATTGTGACTGTAAGATGGAAAGCAGGTGAGGATGGAGCCTCATTGTGTCCTGGGAAACAAGCCCAGCAAGTGCAAAGGCCCTGAGCTCAGTCTGTTTGGTCTGATCAGAGAAGAGCACAGCTGTCTGCACCACTGAAGTAGTGTGTGTGGAGAATGAAGAGCAGGTGGAATGCACAGATATGGACATAGAAAGGCCTTCATGAAGCGAGGCTGGAGGCTCGGCATCCTGCCAGATGTCTGAGAAATATTAATAGCAACAATCCATGGAGTGCATTTCACACACCTGCAACTCAAAACAAACAAACAAACACTGCTACAGTAGGATCAATGCCGAGACAGACAAGGAATCCCACAGTGCACAGAGACAGCAGCTGCAATAGGGTGCTCAGAAACTATGTAGCAAGGGAAGCAAGAATACAAATGCAGAGAGGGAGGGGACTGGCTCAGCTTGAGCAGCAGTGCTAGAAGCCAGGGGACAAGATGACAGAGAGGAGAACAGAAGCAATCGGCCACTTCTCCTCTCCAGGATTTATACCCCACCTCCTAGGAAATCCCAACCCTTCAAGCATCCTGCTCTCAGTGCCAGCCCTGGGGCTCTGGGAGACAGGAGCCATAGTAGTCAATGATTCCTCAGTTTCTCACAGTGGCAGAACTTCCTGTGTTCAGTGTGCTCTGCCACCATTACCCTAGGGTCTGCAATCAATGCAGCTCAGAGAGGGTAAAGGCCTTGCCAAGGTCACATAGCCAATAGGTGACTAAGTTGGGATGTGAGCCCAACTCTTGAGACTGTGATTCTCACAGGGACATGGGGAGAACTGCAAAAATAGGAATTGGTGTTGACTGAGACCAGAGGACAAGGCTGAAAAAGGGGGTAGATGGGTTCTGGAATGGGGAGAGGGTGGAATTGGAGTGATGGAGGCTGAGAGAAGTCACAGATAGGGTAGTGCAGGGAGAGGCTTTGGTACAGAATTAGCCATGTCTCCAGAAATACCTGTCTCAAGGTTGAGATAGAAACAGCATCCTCCCAGACATGCCTGTTAAGCAAGGAGTGGGGAAAATCAGCACAAGGGGAAATGACAGGGAGCTGGCCAAGGACCAGGGGCCCTCGTAGGAGGCCGAGTAGACAAGTCTTCTAAACTTTCTCACTCTGTGGGGAACGATGAAATAGATAATGAGAGGAATGCTGAAGATGGAGGCAAATCCAGGCCATCCAGACAGGGAGGGGGAGCAAGGCCGAGGCTGGTGGCTGCTTGCTCTGAGATGAGGCCCTTTACCAGCTCTGTGTACTGGCAGACAGCATCAGCTGGTCGGGTGTCAGGAGTCCTGGTGCCTCCTCCCACCCCCACGGACCCATCCATCCACCTGCTGCTCCACAGTGCAATGATCCCTGTCCCCTGGGTAGCTGAAGTGTGTGGGAGGAAGCAAAGGAGTTGAAAGCCGAATGTCTTGCCTGGGATCTCAAGTCCGCAGTCTCCCGGCGTCTGCAGCAGCATCCTCCCAGGCCCTCCCCCTCCCCCTGTGTGCGGATGGTATGCTCCGGTAACCCTGGGCCGGCTCGGGTGGATGTTGCTAGAATCCACGCGGAGGAAGGAAGAGACGCAGGCAAGCTGCAGTGACCCAAGCGGCCATCCCTACTTCAGGGACCCCTTCCTTGAGAGAGGACACCATGACCCAGGGAAAGGTAGGGGCATGTCCCCTCCGCCTGTACCATCCTCTGCTCTCTGGACCCCTGCCTCCCTGCCATTCTGAGAGAGCTTTTTGGATCACTTTGAGCATCCCCTCCTAGCTCCAGTGCAAAGGTCCTTGTGGTCTTTGCTGATGCCAGAGGACCAAACAGTCCATTTCAAGGAATGGGCTTAGGACTTTTCCCAACCCCGAGGTTCTTCTCTTCTGTCTCCCACCCCTTGCTGTGGCATCACAAACCCTTCACAGGTGCCCTAGGCCCTATTAGGAGCAGACTTAGGGAGGGAGGAAGGGAGGGAGGGAGGGAGGGAAGGAAAGGAGAGAAGAGGAGAGGAGAGAGGAGAGGGGAGGGGAGGGGAGGAGAGGAGAGGAGAGGAGAGGAGAGGAGAGGAGAGGAGCGGGGCGGGGAGA